AAGAACGCTTGCCTTCACTTTCGAGCCAATGTCAGGAGTGGCATCACTTCGCAAGGCGATAGTCCCGCGGGCAGGATCTCCGCCTTGGATGGTGTAGAGTTGGTAGAGCTGCGCGACAATGAGTGTACGCGCTTTTCCTGACTTGCTCATGCCTACCTTGCCGTCGCGGTGCACGCCCAGGAAAAACTCGTCTTCTTTGATGCCTATGTCAACGTGGGTTGGGGTAGCTTTGCCGTTTAGCTTCTCTATAGCTGAAAGGATGAGATGCGACGGGTTCGCGCCATCCAGAGTGTGTACCATGTTTCCTTCAATGCTAACTTTTCGTCAAGACGTAGATAGCCGAGATATCTGTCAACTCACTCTGTCACCGTCAATAGCCTGTCTGTTATCGCATTCAGCTCAGGGAACTCCATATCCATGCGGGGCTTTGCAGAGCCGTCCGAAGTGAATGCAATGCCCACCGCACCCGCCGAATGGACTTCGTTGCCGAAGAATAGCGTGTGCGGCCGGCCATTCACGAAGGGTGTTGACGATGCGATGAAGCCCAGCTTGAACCACTAGAGTTGCCGCCAGTGTTATTCAAGACAGGAGAGGACGGACCTTCGACGAGCGGTCAAACTTGGATAACGACTGGGCTAGGCCTTCGGGCGCGCTATCGGACAGGTACAGGATAGTCTGTACATCCTCAGGCCTTGCGGATTGTCAATATTGCCGTGTACAGCGCATATGTGGATGTCGTACCGTAGTCCCCGAAGCTCTGGCGGAACGTCGGGCGCGGACCTGTTCTTCGCCCACACGCTTTCCCAGTTGATGCCCTCGGACTCTTGCGGGAGCGATTCCAGAGATGTCTTCTCGTCCCTCTTCCTGAATGCATGCCACCGTCCAACTTGAATCGGCTCTTTGCCTGGAATCGTACTCCGGAACGGCGTTGCGGTCTTTTCGTCAAATGTCGCTACAGAGCATATCGTCGGGTTATTTGTAGTCGTGCCCTCATACTCGAGTTGCAAGAGAGGCGCAGAGAGGCAGCCGACCGCGTTCGGGTGGCGAGTCAAGACACGCACGAGCTCAGAAAGCGCGTCTTGTGAGAGGTCCGGTGCGGGTGCAAGCGAGAATAGAAGGGTCTGCGATGAACTCGACGATGCCACGTGAGGTAGATTGGCTAGTTGGCGCAGTATCTGCCTCGAGGACCGCGAGACATACATTGTTGCCGACAGAGACATGGTGGTCCTGAGTAAAGCCTGCAGGAGCGCGCGGGACGTCGAAGCGCGTCAAGATCAATTTTGAACAGCATTAATATTGCAGGGCCATGTTACAAGACAAAGTGCTCTCTACTGCAGCTACAGCTTGATCTATCTCGTGTAGCAGACTGCCGAAGCACGTGCTCACGTTATAACGAATGAACGGTATGAGTCATTAAATCCCGCCCTTCAGTCGAAACTTGTACACATCCTTGCCAATTTTGACGCATATATGTTCCGCTTCGAATGCACTGACATGTCTCGAGCGCAATGTGATACCAAACTCTTGCTCCAGGCCAGGCAGCAGACTATCCGGGAAGCGCAGGATGGCCGGAAACCCGGCAGAGCTCACAGCGAGCTGCGCTGTTAGGTTATCCTGTTTCGCGGAAGTTGTCGCCTGTTCGAGAGGATGGGTAGAGTCATCGACGTTGTTGCTTGGTGAGGGAGATGTTGGTTTGAACTCGGTCGAGGTAGATTGCGCCAGGAGAGCCCACGCTATTGAAGCATGGAACCGAGGCTTTTCATAGAACTCTTTCTGGCGATATGAACGTAACGTAGGCGCGAGTGCGTTGCATAGCGCCTCGAGCTGTGATACGCTATTTAACGAGGAGATATATGTTAACATGAGTGATTACCTGCCTCTCTATGACCTGCGCCGACTTCGATGGTTAGGAACGTTCGTGTACGCTCATCATTCGTCAATTCTGCGAAGTTGGCAAACGACGCAGAGAATCTAAGATGTCATTATCCATAAGCAACGTAGTGCCTCACCAGTATAGTAGACGTACGCTTTCTGTTGTCCGCCTACCACTCTGACAGCAGTCCTGAACTCTTCGCGCTGATGAGCTCGTAAGTACATGGGGCGCGTGAGGGATATGTGCAACTCCCGCTCATCTGGCTCTATGTTCGTGTCTCCTATGGGATGAAGGATCGATACTATATCGACTGCATGATGGAAAGCGTTGTTGACCAAACTTCCGAGCATAGACGTGGGCGGGATCCGCACAGGTACATAGACATACGCGGCGAACTGACCCTCGACGTGTGGGCTGCTCCGTAGCCTGCCTTGATGTATCGCGGGGTTATCTACAGGCGCAGATACGACCAAGTTGAACGCGAGTGCGGGGAGCTTGCTATAAGACATGAGGTCAGAGTCGAGAGTAGGCCAGGAGACACGCACCGTTTCTTTGTTACGGGCTCCTCGACTGGTTTTATCTGTTCTTCATCGTCTTCAGAGCTTGCATAATCTACCAGCGCGCCAGACCGTTTCATCTGTAGCGAACGTCCGCGGCTACGTTACAGTAGAAGGAAATCAAGAGCCGACCCGCTCGCGAGCAGCGGTGTCGTTGGAAGCAACGTGAGATAAGATCCAATAAGCGAAGTCCAAGTTGGCTATCTAATCGATCTGACTTACCATCAATCGCGGCAACTTAACATGCTTACCAGGTGATCAATCGCAAATTCTTACTGGACTTACTGCGCGATGTAAGGTCCATCCAATTCAATAGGCACTCCGGTTTGCTTCCACTGTCACAACAGCCTCGAACGAGTGGGGAAATGGCGGCTGATACGACTTCATATAATGCACGCAATGGATGGACTACTCCCACATCCCAGTCTAGCCTGTGCAGTTCTGACGTAGATGGCGAAGATATCTCAAACGTCGCCGGCGATTCCTCATCGTACGTAACTCTGACTCGAACGCTCATCCCGCTACTTATCTAGTCAGCCTTGGTCGTGCAGACGTTCTCGGTAGGACGATGGAGCCTTCACAGGAGCCACCGAAGTTGTTCCATTCCCTGCATCACCTGAAGAAGTGCTCGGTGCTCAGCTTGGCGGCGGACGCCAGTTACATCTATAGCGGAAGCCAGAGCGATGACATTGCAGTGAGTCTCTTAATCTCCCAGGCGGCGAGTGTATGTGTTTATGGTGGTGTTAAAAAGGTCTGGGACAAACAAACGTTCACCTTGAAGACTACCCTCCGCGGCCATACCGGCAGTGTCCTCGCTCTCGAGTATGCGCCAGAGCTGCAATTGTTGTTCAGCGCTTCAGGTGCGTGCTGCCCTCACTCTGTTCGTCAAATTGCGTCGTGCTCAGAACCCCCATAGGCGATGGCACGATTAGAGTACTTATCCACTGTTCCTGACGCCGTCCGCAACCTAACGCATCTTTGCAGGCATGGTCGGCGGACACGCTTATGCCCCTCTTCGTCATTAATCCCCATCTTGATTCCGGGGATCTATTCTGCCTGGCATGGCACCCCGGAACGAGCACTCTCTATTTTGGTTGCCAAAACACGTCTATACAGTGGTTCAACTTTGACGGCTTCGCATCGTTGGAAACGCAGACGGACGTGAACGGCCACGGCTCGTCGCGTGCACGCGCTGCAACCCCGATGACGAGTCCATCGATTTCTTCAGTCCGCTCGGATTCTATTGACAGACTAATGCTGGAGACCGCGGTCAGCAATGGCACCAACACGCCCCGCAAGGTGCACAAATTCTTTGATTCATATCCTCAGTACGAGCGTCGTACGCCCGATCTCAATGCACGTAATCCCAACCTCGGAAACCCGGGTCTCGCTACACCCCCGCCATCATCTCCGCCTGGATTCGCCACGCCTCCACATCTCCAACAGAGCGCGTCCGGGTTAGGGGATGCGTGTGTTGTTCCACCGCCACCGCAACCGCCAACAAGGACCCTGCAAGTACCAGCAGAGAATACGATCTGGTCTGCGCATTACGGATACGTGTATTGCATGGCTACTGTGCCCGGTATACGTGAAGGAGCGGATAATGTCCCTCGACTCAACCCGGATTCCGCGCTACTTCTCTCTGGGAGCGGAGACTCGACCGTCAAGGTGCGCATGCATACAACTTTTCACTGGTGTCCAGCGCGTCTAACCTCCTCTCGTACGAACCTTATTAGGTTTGGTCGCTATCCACAAAGCTTCCGACACTCCAGCACACGTTCGATTGCGGTTATGGTGCTGTGCTTTCGATGGTTGTGCGCGGGGATACTATCTACGCAGGCTGCCAAAATGGCTACGTCAAGATCTTGGACCTTGAGACCAAGACCCTCGTCAGAAGCTTGATCATCACGGAGGTAAGCGTGCTCGCGCCCAAGAAAGTTATTGAGCTAATCATCTCCCCGCAGAATGTGGACATCTTGTCATTGTCCTTGCTGCACTCGGATCTGTACACATGCTCCGCGAATGGTGAAATCCAGGTGCGCCTGCTGGCTACCGATGTCCGCCGAGTTTTGCTGAAACTTTAAACCTGATATAGCGCTGGTCTGCGTCGTTCAACCAGACATCGCACTGGAAGTCCCACGCTGGCATCGTCCTGTCTTCCATCGTCACCCGCTCGTCAGACCTACGAGCGGACGGAACGATCACTTCTGAGCTCAACGGAGATGCAGGAAAGCCCTGTGACCGATTCGTCTTGGTGACAGGCGGAAACGATGACCAGATCAAGGTGCAGATCGTCCGTGAACGGGGCTCCGCGAAAATAGCTGATGATTACCATGCACAGATATGGGAGGTCAACCCACCGAAGCCTGCACCTCATACCATTGCTAATTGCGAGGACTTGGACGCAGTTGATTTGGATCTGTCTAATGGTATGCCCCCTCTGTTATCAAGTCCTATCATGACTTGTGCGATCACTTTGTCAGACACGATGGTCTACACACTGTCGAAGTTTGTCTCCATTCCAAGCGTCAGCGACAGTGCCCGGTACAGAGAAGACTGCAGACAGGCCGCGATATGGCTCAGAAAATGTCTCGGGCAACTGGGCGCACAATCATACTTGGTCAGTGCCCCAGCAGACGGTTTGTTGTTTGCTAAGGCTGACAAGTATTGCAGTTACCCACAGGCGAAGATACGAACCCACTGGTGCTTGCGACCTTCCACGGAACACAAACCGAGTACAAGAAGCCAAGGATTCTATTCTATGGGTACGCTACCATAACGAGCTCTTCTGGGAGGTGGCTTATCAGCTAATATGCCTCATCAGTCACTACGATGTCATCTCTGCGCGAGGCAGCAATTGGGAATCCGACCCATTCACGCTCTCTGCTCGTAACGGTTATTTGTACGGACGCGGCGTCACTGATAATAAGGGACCTATTATGGCCGTCGCGTGCGCAGCAGCTGATCTACTGAAGCGACGTGCCCTGAAGATGGATGTTGTGATGCTACTCGAAGGTGAGGAGGAAGCAGGAAGCCGTGGGTTCATGGAGACTGTACGGAAGAAGAAGGTAAAGTGTTTATCATACGTGCATACTATCTCTTGTGCTAATCCTGATACGAAGGATATGATTGGGCCTATCGACGCCATTCTGATCAGGTGAGCGTGGCGTAATCACGGCGGGGGCTAAAAGCTCATGCATCTTTAGTAACTCGACATGGATAGCGGAGGACACCCCTTGTATCACCTATGGTCTCCGTGGTGTTATTCATTCTGTTGTCAAGGTCAGTTATTGTCTACTTACTGCTGTGCCTTGACGGTGCTGACTTCCTGATTAGGTCTCGAACAACGGGCCTGACCTGCACTCTGGTGTTGATGGCGGTGCCGTCGCAGAACCTATGGTGGATATGTGCGCTGCATCCTGTTATTTTGTATTCGCTTTCTTCAGCTAAATTAACTTCCAGCATCAAACTCCTCGGTACCCTCCTTGACGGACAAAAGCGTGTTGCGTTACC